TCTATGGGCAGCGATGGAAAATAGAAAAACTTCATTATATCAAAAAATTCGTTTTATGGAGGTTAATTATAAGCAGGTTTAACTGTGTTTGAAAAGGGTACTCTTTTCACAAACAGCGCCTGTCCAGCGAGCGTAGTGCTCTTTGTGTGCCCGGCAACTAAACGCATTCGTTCCGGTCAAAGTCGAAGGGATGCGATTCTCCCCACCGAATGGTAAGTTTGCGCACAAGCATCTAACCCCCCCCTCATTCGAGGGGCAAAGTACGCATGGGAGACAAGCGCGCGCCAGCGCATCGTGACATGCTGGGCACCGAGCGCGGGCATTTTTTTTTTGTTCTTTCTCAAACTTTAATATATATAGATACGTATACATATACGGTGAATAACGGCGGTAGCAAAAACCAGTCGAGACTGTCCATATAATTGCTATCCCCCCCAAAAAAGCAAAGCTGAATGTCGTCGGGATCACACCATGCACGCGCAGTGAAACTATGCACGAACGCGCATGCGTTGAAAATAAAGAGCGAATGACACAAACAGACACAGATACCGCGGAAAACTATTCAGTAAAATGCCCTCTATATGCAGCACGGCCCCACATAAGTGACACTCACTAAAAGCATGACACTGCCAACGAGCAAACGTAGTTTTCTTTTTTTTTATTTGTTTTTAAGTTTTTGCCTTACAGCCGGACTGTGCTCACGCATGCGTGAGCACAGTCTGGCTGTAAAGGCGAAAAATTTCATTGTAGGACATGTGGATGCACTACCCGATTTGAGAATGTTTCAGCCATGGCTCAGGCACGTGAAAAGATGGAAACAGAGATTATTCAAGATATTTAAAAGGTAATTGAATGACAAATACATAAGCATGCCATCAATCTCACTTTTGAACAGGGAATTAGTCTTCCTGCATGGCCATGTTGTGGGTAACACCTTGCAAGGTTTTCTCCTTCTTTTGTTGACCTTTTTATGAGTGTGCACTCATTTATCCTGTTTTATTTCCCATGCGATGCTTAGCAATTTTTCATAAGGTTTTATGTTTTTGACTCTCTTGGCGTAGTGCTTCATCGTTTTTGCTCATTTGCTGCTGGCTTAGGGTGATCTGAATATTGTTATTTCATTGTTTTAATCGGTTTCAAGCGCTATTTAAAAGTTAAAAAAAAGCTTTTACAGTACCCTTTCATGTGTTCATGTCATTGAAGAAGCTTGGTGCCATAAAAAGATCAAAAGAAAAAGTAAATATATGAAATATAGGCGTACACTTTATGAATACGCTCTTTAGATTGCAGCGTTTGTTACATTTGAAGTGTTTCCTCATGGCTCTGTTTGCGGCACCCCTGCAATAGAAAGCTGGTTTTGTGCACATTGTGGTAGCGTAACATGGCATACATCTATATACTTTTGTTTCATGAAACAACAATAAACAGCTGGTAGTCTGCCCTTTTTCTTGTCTCCATTGGCGCTTTCCTTAGGCTTACACAGCAAGTCGAGTTTTCAAATCTCGAAGTTTTGGCTGTGGAGCTAAATTTGCTTAAGGGTGACTCACGAAGCGACCAGGAAGGGACGCGACAGCCTACACTGCCGTCACGCACGAACACGCAATGGCCAGGCTCATCCACTATCCACTCTCTGACATGGCACAGAGATGGCACTCGAGACAGGTGGTCAACAAACACAAGTTTTATTAACCTTAGATACAACAAAGTCCGACAACCATGGGCTTGCGGGCCGGCAGAGAACTCCGCAAGACCGACCGAGAGCACCGTTGCCGGCAAGTGCTAGGGCTATCACACAGAGGGCGGCAGCCAAGCGCGCAAACGAAAAGCTGCCTGCTAAAGCAGCGTGTCTCCCTCTGGTGCAGGCCTGTGTGAATCTGCCCGGCGGCAGGCTAGAGTTATCTAGAATAGGTCACTCTAACCAAGTGAACGCAAGCTACCAGAAGAGGAGGCTTACGGGCGGCCAATTAGGATTGGCGGAGCACCGTGGTGTAAGCTAGCGTGGCGTGAGGGAGAGGCACATTTTTCGGTCAAGTTCGAACATGTGCCTCTTTGCGGGAAAACCAACGCATGGCTCACGCCAGACAAATAGGCCAGGGCACGGTACCACGGTGGCCATGTTCCCGGCGCTCGAAGTGCACGCGTAAGCGCTTGCGCAAGCTTGGGAAATGAGGCACCAAAGGGGAAGACACGCTCGATTCCCACAAGATGGAACCAAGCATAACACACTATTATGTTAAAATTTACAAGTTTGATCCTCGGCCGCTAAGATTATGCAAACACAGTAGTGATATATAAAATTTATGGTAGCGACTTATTTTTTCCCTAGAAGCGACACTGCAGTCAGTGAGAACTTTTGTGTTGTAGTGAAAACTAAACAGAAATCTCCATCAAAGCGTTGCAAAAAGCTGTGAAAAAATATTCCACACCAAGACAATGATCTACTACATTCTCCCAAACAGACAGCTGAAACAATAAAAGAGTTTCGGTTTTAACACTTTCATGACCGCACGTATCCCCATCGATAGTATGTTTTCGATGTTTACAACTTGCATATTTGCCCTGTTTTGAACGCGTTTGGACCCCTTGCGCTATCTAACGCCTAAAATAAAAAGTGTTTTATCAGTTTCACTTTTGTGTTTCTTTTTTTTCACCGTGTGATGACTTTAAGGTGCCTTTTCATGCGCAAAAGTGAGCGTGCATAGTTTCAATCATGGCGTCGATGCAGCTTGTGACCGCTTCATGAAAACGGCGAATTTCGGGGGATTCTCATGAATCTGGGCTAGAATATTCAAATTGCGACAGAAGCACAGGCTCGGAAGATGACATCAGCACTCTTGATTTGAGCGAAGACAACGAGAGTTCGTCTAACCGCCCCGGAACAATAGCGGTCGTCCACAGGTGAGTTTAGCTTGTGCTCAGGCCGCGTTATTGCTGGCGAAAGTCGGTGTAAGTTGACCCGATGTGTTCTAAAGGTTGGTGCTCTTATCTGCAGGATGTCCAGTTCTATGGAGCGAGGCTACTTGCCCGCGGCAGGGCAGGGATTGCAGTTTCGTGGGCGGAGGCAGCTGGAAGTGAACCTTGGAGCCATGTTGCATAGTGCCGCGCGGCGCTTCGGGAGCAGTGTTGACTTTTTGTTTTTTACTATTCAAGTTATAGAGCAGCTATGCAAAAGCACAGTAAATATGCATATTTTTTAGAAGCTAACGTACAGCAACAGAGACAGTTCTTGGAGGACGCAAAGACCATCTTGATGCTCCTACACAAAACGCTCCTCCACAAAACGCTCCTCCACAAAACGCTCCTCAGGGCTAACGGCAGCAGCCAAAAAAATGTATATATCAGGAACTGTAACTTAAGCTATGAACAAAGAAAAGTTGAACAGAAAGCAAGTGTTTTCTGTGAAACATGTGTAGCAAACCTACATTTTACCGAATCCCAACACTGTTTTGCACAGTGGCATAATAGATACTACGCGTGATGTTATTTTATGTACGCGAAAACTTTTGTATTTACAGCGCCTTTATTTACAGGAAAATTGCGCGTGCTCCTTGCACTTAAAATGTATATTTCCATTTCTTTTTATGCTTAGCCTGTTCAAAGCAGAGTTGATGGTTCTATGAAATTTCTTTGCTCATGTTTACAATGTTTTTCGTTTGATGGTTTTTTTCGTACTATTGATAATAAATTTGTGGTTTCAAACTGACCGTGTTTCAAAAATAACTCCTAGATTTATAATTTGACCATATAAACATTGACATCAATAACTTTAGAAGCCATAAAGAAGTAAGGTTTTCTGGATTACCCAAAAATGACAAAATTTCTTGCAGTCACGAAAGTATTAATTTCTGTAACAACGCCATAGAGCGCAGACGTGACTACAAAAGATTTTCATATGTTTGGACCATTGAAGAAACTTCTCATGAGAAGAAGACATGCAATCGATGTAGCGGTCACTGATATGGCGCGAAATCAGTTACAGCTGCAACCTAGAAGTCCTTTTTCCGACAAAATCATATAACTTGTCAAACGCTGGCCAAAATGTGATAAGGTTATGTAGAAAAATAATGCATAATTTTGTTTTCTAGCAATAGTGCGATATTTACCTTTTCGCAAAGCTCCTTTTACTTCACTTGCCTACTTGGATTGATTGGCTACTTAAAATTATGTACGAATGTCAGCAAGAGAAGGGGCTACGAAGCGCACTTAGGATTATGTCAACCTTCATCGCTGGGCTCATGGAAAGGCTGCTACGCCACAGCCAACATTTGGGCTCACATGGAACCCTTTCATGTTGACTAGAGTGACGGATTCAAGAAAGTTGTAATGGTATATTTGGTAGTATCTCAAGCAGCGTGTTATCCAATAAACTGCTTTGTATTCTTTGAAATTCAAGTCACTGTTCCCACATAGAAGGTGTCATTGGGAGATGACCTCAAAGAGGAGTTCCTGTAGGGGAAGCACGGCAGACAAAAATATTGCCACAGATGCTCGTGTCAATATATTCTTTTATTTATGTTACCACTCTATTCAGCCATGCTCACACTAAGAGGGTATATGTACGGATCATCGGTAACGATTGTAAGCGTAAATGCAAGCAACGTTATGAGATTGTTAAACATTGTATTTAGTGCAAAAAAGGTAACGTTTCAAGCAGAAATATTGACGGGCTCATGAATTTTACGGCGGCTATTTGGCAAAAGCTACTCCTGTTTTAACTTTCCGCTCATGGGTCTTCCGGCTGTCCCAGGCTCTGAGTCTTTTTGCATGTCCCGAAACCTATGTCTGTGCAATGATTTTGCTGATGCTTTTACTATGCTTACATCAGTCATATATATACATATATACATCAACTCTATATTTGGGAGAGTCATTTGTTCAAGAGCTAGTAGCCATCGTGGTCACCGCACTAATGATAGCGTTTTACACAAACAACACTATATGGCATTACGATAAAAAGTGCACTTACTGGACAGTGACACAACAGCGCCGGTCAAACTTACTTCAGCCACACGGAGTTCTGCTCCATACGTTTCGGAGGGAGCAAAGTGGGCCAACACTGTGCTGCCATCAAGGCCTTCCCAGACGAAGTTGTGGTGGGGAAACTTGTTCACCAAATTCCAGCTCAACTTCTGAGTGAGAAATCGGGAAACCCCACACATCCTGCAAAGATGAGTGATACTTGCACTTAAAAGCAAGACGACATTTCCAGGAGATCCCTGCGCAAAATAATTTGTAGAGAATCTTTGCTTGTCAACTTTCGAAGTGTACGGGTTCCCTGTGCTGCTAAAGCATAATAACACCTATGCTTGACGATATGATAATATGATATGATATGCAATGATAATATGATATGCAATGCCGAATATTCACCCAATGCTTTATACATAAACTACAATATCAGAAAGAACCATTCAAAAGTCACACTCAGAACTTACAAATAATTGGTCAGGGAAACCCTCACTCATACCTGTAATCAGTTGAAGACTGCGGGCTTTGATCATAGTTTTGACTGCCGGCCACTGTCGAGCAGTGGTAAAGGTGCTCAACTACTAACCCGAAGGGTTCAATATCAGCTGCGGCAGTCGCTTTTTGATGGAAGCTAAACGCTAGAGGCACATGTTTTCTGGAATGTGAATATTGCAGGTGCCCTTCACTAAGGCGTCTCTCATTATCATATTGGAGTTAAGGGAGATGAATATCCAGATAATATTATTATTATGCGGGTTTCAGTTCGTCAGTTACTCCTAATTAGCTTTATGATACTAACAAATGGGTGTGAATTTTCTCCATAATCATTCCATCACCTTGCGGCACTTCGCCAAAACTGATTCGTGCTTCGTGGTCTAGAACTCGTCCTCATGCTGTTGATATGTTGCATCCTGATTAACTCACCTGCTAGAAAGAGTTCATGCCCGGTTTGACGAAGATGAAGCTTTTGTCAGCTCCACTTTATAAGAAATTTCAAGTAATTTCCTTTCAGCTACAATTGGTTGCACACCAACTTTCTATTTCACATGTCCATTCGTTGAAACATTCACACCTCCGGCTTCATTACCAGTTCAACAGTTCGACGAGAATGAAGCTTTCACCAGCTCCACCTTATATAAAATTTCAAGCCATTTCCTTTTAGCTACAACTAATTGCACGCCAACTTTCTATTCTACATGTCCATTTGTTGAAACATTCACACCTCCAGCTTCATTACCAGTTCAACAGTTCGACATAACATCCGGGCCTCCATTTTTCGCTTGAATAACAACAATATCTGCTGAAGGAAAGATGTATACATTCAAGAGCTCGTTTTTGGTTCTTCACATTTTCATTAGCATTATTCCTAATAACTTCACCTATAATTCAGCTGGCATTTTTGTCTGTTAGATTTCATTATTATCATGTCTAAAAAAGAAAACGACCCCTTAAAGGGGCCCTGAAACACTTATTCAAGTAATAAAATAATGAATTCGCTAGAATAAATTGCTGGAATTATCTTACGAATTCAATGCTGCAAAAATTTCAAGAACCCGTCCAGTGCGAGTGGAGTTACAAAGATTTCTCGCATGCTGCATTTGCATTCTCTCTTCTCTCATTTGGACGAAAGCGCTGGAAGCTAAACAGGGAGAAACGGCAGGGGCAAGGAAACTACGTCACCCACGCCACCTGATCTTGAAAACTTTTTTCTTCGAATGTGTGGCTTTTTCAGTGCAATTGCGCAGGCACACGTGGACAAGTCATGGCCTCCCACGGCAATCTCTGTAACGACCAAGCGGGCCATGTTCAAATCAGTCAATGGCTGATAAACGGGCTTGCTACGTGCGATTTTTTAGCATTTTCTGTCATTTGTCGAGAGAAGAGAAAGCAATTTTTAGCTGAATCTAATAATTTATTGCCGATTCCAGGCCACGTGCTGCACTATATTATTTGGCTCGCGTGTTGTCAGGAGCATGTACTTTTGATTGGCAGCGTTTTCTGACCTCGCTCAACAAGCGTTGCAGAGCCCCTTTAAATGCACACTTCTTTCATTCCATAGCGACGGTCTTGTTCTGGCCGACTTGGTACCTTCAGGTAGTATACGAGGTCAGCTGCCAGCTTGCACTACATAAGGCGCCCCGTGACGCAACACAGGCCGACAAAGAGACGACAAAGAGAGGGACCAAATCTGCGACAAGGTCGCAGGTTCGGTCCCTGCCCACGGCAAGTCATCTTTTCATACACTTTTATTCAATCATATTTACATTACAATTACTTCTAATAACTTCACCTATACATTGGTTGGCATAATTGTCTGTTAGATCTGGCTACATCATGCCACACAGGCTCATGAAAGAGTGTTCCACACTCGCTGCCATGGCTACAGATGGCGCTGACTGACACTCTCACGTTTAAATTCACACATATACCCAATAAAGTGGCTGGGAGGATAGCCGCCGTGGTAGCTCAGTGGTAGAGCATCGAACACGTTATTCGAAGGTAGCGGGCTCTGTTCCTGCCCACGGCAACTTACCTTTTCACCCACTTTTATTTCTTCACATTTACCTTACCATTCGGTCTATACTAATAACTTCCCCTATACTTTTCTTGGCATTATTGTCTGTTAGATTTCATACACACACACACACACACACACACACACACACACACACACACACACACACACACACACACACACACACACACACACACACACATACACACACACACACACATATATATATATATTGAAATACTCCGGTTCAGCTGACGCTTTTGTTCAAGCAACAGCAAGATGGCACTGAATATCAAGAGGCACGATGCGAAGACTGATGATGGGTATTGACAGATGAGAAAAATGAAGTCCAATGAATTCTTATACTAGTTTCCCCCCCGTCAATGGAAGCAGCCAGCTTGGCCGCGAATTACGCTGTGGAATGCATACGATATGGCTTGAGACGCGAAACGTGCACAATCTCTGTCCCGCGGCAGCGTTGGTCAGTGGGGGCATGAAGCGGTGTGACAAGGTAGGTGTGACTGGGGAGGTCTGTTCGACAACTTTGTAGGGCCAAGATAGCGTGACTCAAGCTTCTCGCATAAGCCAGGCGTTCATGCAGGAGTCCACAGAAGTACATCGTCACCAGGGCAGTAGAGAACGATGCGGTGAGTGGCACCGTAACGATGTTTGCGATCTTCTTGGCTAGCTCCGGTGTTTACACGGGCAAGACGATGGCATTGAGCAACACGGCACAGAAACTGGTCGCAAAGGAATGGTGAAGAGTTGACAGGGCCAGAAAAGAATGAAACATCGAGTGGTGATGTTGGTTGGCGTCTGTATACTAAGAAGAATGGAGATTAGCCTGTGCTTAGTTGAACTGACGTATTATATGCATACATGACGAAGGGAAGAATGGCATCCCGATTGCGATGGTCCGGTCAGATTACATGGACAGCATGTCGCGCAAGGTGCGATTAAATCCTTCTCGTTAAGCCATTGGTTTGTGGGTGGCTAGATGCTGTTTTATGAACTGCTTTTGATGCTTGACGAACTTCACTGAGCGTGCTTAAAAGAAATGCCTTGCCTCGGTCGCTCAAAAGAACAACAGGGGCTCGGTGACGTAGGTAAATAGCATTAAAGAAGAAAGTCGCTACTTCAGAAGCATTTCCTGAAGTGATTGAGGCCGTCTCAGCGTACCGGGTCAAGTGATCAACCGCGGTGACGATGCATCTCTTGCCGTCTGATGTAGTTGGGAGGGCCCCAAGAGGTCGATTCTGACGACAGAGAACAGGGCTCTGCTAGGCAAGGAAGTCGCTGTAGGGTCCCGACTGGAGCAGTAGTGGGCCGCTTGCGGTGTTGGCAAAGTGCGCACGAGGCAACTTACTTAGCTACCATTGTGGAAAGACCTGGCCAGAAGAATCGACTGCGAATGCGCTCGTAGGTTTTGTAGTAACCCAAGTGGCCTGACGTCAGGTCATCGCGTGAAGCATGCAGAACTTCAGTGCGTAGTGCGCGTGGTACGATGGGAACCCATCGATGGCCTTCAGGGTGGAAATGTATCGATAGAGCACCTCGTCCTCCAACTTGAATGGTCTGAGTTGTTTGGGAGTCTGGCATTCGGGGAAGACGAAGCACTGGTAAGCCGACAGACGAGGTCAGCTTAATAAGAATCGGCCCGCTGGTGAGTGGTAAGTGCTGACGGATGGGCAGATGAAGGTAGAAAAGGAATGGATTATATCAATGAGGCGTCCTTTGCATAGCCAATTTGACAAGGGGATGTGACGTGCGCTAAAGGCTGCAGCAAAGGGCATCGTGACAAAGCGTCGGCATCTTGTTGTTGTCTTCCGGTCCTGTAGATGACGCCAAAGTGATGTGCTTGTCACTGGAGAACCTAGCGGCCAAGTCACCCCGACAAGTTTTTGATTGTCGACAACCAGGAAAGAACATGGTGGTCTGTCACAACAGTAAAATGTCGACCATGTAGATAGGGCCGAAATTTTCGGATGGACCAGACAACATCAAGCGCACTTGTTCAGTTATCGAGTACCTCTTCTCTGCAGAGGACAAAGTGCGGCTTGCATACGCGACAACTTTCTCGCAAAAGGCATGATTGCGCTGGAGGAGTACGGCGCTGATTCCTTGTCCACTAGCGTCAGTGTGTGATAACGTAAGTGCCTTGTCATCGAAATAACAAAGCTCCGGTGGGGATGTCAGTGCGTGCTTGAGTTCTTGAAACGAGGCTTCGCATCGATCATTCTAATCAAGGGAACCGGTACTAGCAAGGAGCTTGTGGAAAGGAGCGGCAATGGGGGCAAAGTTGCGAATGAGGTGGCAAAAATAAGATGCAAATCTAAGGAAACTGCGTAGTTCTTTGGAACGAAAGGGTCGCAGAAAATGGAGTACTGCAGAAATTTTGTCAGGATTGGGCTGGATGCCATCTTTACTAACGACATGTCCCAGAACTTTTATAGCTGTGTTGCCGAAATGGCACTTTTTTGTGTTCAGTTGAAGTCCAGCATTGGAGAGACATCTAAGCACTTTATCTTGGCATTGCAGATGATGAGCAAAAGTGGAAGAAAACACAACGACATCATCAAAGTAGCATAAACAAGTTTTCCACTTGAGGCCACGAAGAACAGTGTCGATCATCCTTTCAAATGTCGCGGGAGCATTACATAGGCCAAATGGCATTACG